CCAGCAGTACAACAAAAAACGTATCCACCACGATCAAGTTGGCTTCATCCCTGGGATGCAAGACTGGTTCAACATATGCAAATTAATAAATGTAATCCATCACATAAACAGAACCAATGACAAAAACCATATGATTATCTCAATAAATGCAGAAAAGGCCTTTGATAAAATTCAACATCGCTTCATGTTAAAAACTCTCAGCAAACTAGGTATTGATGGAACATATCTCAAAATAATAAGATCTACTTATGAATAACTCACAGCCAATATCATATTGAATGGGCAAAAGCTGGAAGAATTCCCTTTGAAAACCACTACCAAACAAGGATGCCCTCTCTCACCACTTCTACTGAACATAGTATTGGAAGTTCTGGCCAGGGCAATCAGGCAAGAGAAAGAAATAAAGGACATTCAAATAGAAAGAGAGGAAATCAAATTGTCTCTGTTTGCAGATGACATGATTCTATATTTAGAAAACCCCACTGTCTCAGCCCAAAAACTCCTTAAGCTGACGAGCAACTTCAGCAGTCTCAGGATACAAAATCAATGTGCAAAAATCACAAGCATTCCTTTACACCACAGTAGACAAGCAGAGAGCCAAATTATAAATGAACTCCCATTCATAATCGCTACAAACAGAATAAAATACCTAGGAATACAGGTAACAAGGGATATGAAGGACCTCTTCAAGGAGAACTACAAAACACTGCTCAAGGAATAAGAGAGGACACAAACAAATGGACAAACATTCCATCCTCATGGATAGGAAGAATCAATATCCTGAAAATGGCTATACTGTGCAAAGTAATTTACAGATTCAATGCTATTCCCATTGAACTACCATTGACATTCTTCACAGAAATAGGAAAAACTATTCTAAATTTCATATGCAATCAAAGAAGACCCACTATAGCCAAGACAATCCTAAGCAAAAAGAACAAAGCTGGAGTCATCACAGTACATGACTTCAAACTGTACTATAAGACTATGGTAACCAAACAGCAGGGTACTGGTACCAAAAAAGACAAATAGCACAATGGAACAAAACAGAGACCTCAGAAATAACACCACACATCTATAACCATCTGATCTTCAACAAACCTGAAAAAAACAACCAATGGGGAAAGGATCTCCTATTCAGTAAATGGTGCTGGGAAAACTAGTCAGCAAAATGCAGAAAACTGAAACTGGACCCCTGCTTTACATCTTATACAAAAATTAACTCAAGATAAATTAAAGACTTAAATGTAAAACCCCAAACCATAAAAACCCTAGGCAATACCATTCAGGATGTAGGCATGGGCAAAGACTTCATGACAAAAATGCCAAAAGCAGTTGCAACAAAAGCCAGAATTGACAAATGGGATCTAATTAAACTGAAGAGCTTCTGCACAGCAAAAGAAAGTATCATCAGAGTGAGCAGGCAACCTACAGAATGGGATAAAATTTTGCAACCTACCGCCATCTGACAAACGTCTAATCTCCAAAATTTACAAGGAACTTAAACAAATTTACAAGACAAAAAAATAATTAAAAAACCTTATCAAAAAGTGGGCAAAGGATATGAACAAACACTTTTCAAAAGAAGTCATTTATGTGGCCAACAGAGATATGAAAAGAAGCTCAACGTTGCTGATCATCAGAGAATTGAATATTAAACCACAATGAGATACAATCTCACGCCAGTCAGAATGATGATTATTAAAATGTTGGGAAACAATAGATGCTGGCGAGGCTGTGGAGAAATAGGAACACTTTTACACTGTTGGTGGGAATGTAAATTAGTTCAACCTTGTGGGAGACAGTATAGCAATTCCTCAAGGATCTAGAACCAGAACCATTGACCCAGCAATCCCATTACTGTGTATATACCCAAAGGATTATAAATCATTCTATTATAAAGACACATGCACACGTTTGTTTATTGCAGCACTATTTACATAACAAAGAAATGGAACCAACTCAAATGTCAATCAATGATAGACTGGATAAAGAAAATGTGGTACCTATACACTGTGGAATACTATGCAGCCATAAAAAGAATTAGATTATGTCCTTTGTAGGGACATGGATGAAGCTAGATGCCACCATCCTCCGCAGACTAACACAGGAACAGAAAACCAAACACTGCATGTTCTCACTCATAAGAGGGAGCTGGAAGCCATCATTCCCAGCAAACTAACACAGGAACAGAAAACCAAACACTGCATGTTCTCACTCATAAGTGGGAGTTGAACAGTGAAAACACATGGATACAGAGAGGGAAACAAAAGACACTAGGGCCTGTTGGGGGCTGGGGAGAGAGGGGCGGGAACTTAGAGGACGGGTCAATAGGTGCAGCAAACCACCATGGCCCACGTATGCCTATGTAACAACCCTGTATATTCTATGTATGTATCCCATTTTGTTTTCTTTTTAAAGAAATAAAGAAAAGCAAAAATAAATTTTAAAAAGATATGGGTGTTAAAAGAGAAAGGCTTATATGCAGCACAACATCTAAAATAAAACACGCTGGCCTGACACTTTTATTTTTGGTTGCTCTTTTTCCTTCTTTAGTCACTTAAAATTTCTAATTTCTGGCATGTATCTTAATGTGACTTATTTTTTAAACAGTGTCTTTACTCTTTTCACAACAACACACCTTGAATATAAAAAGGAATAAATACTCTTCACTTCTACTAAGAACAGGGCTTACTACCATTTATCTAACGTGCACAGACCACTAGTCTTTTTCTTCATGTTTTAATAGACACATGAAGAAAAATCTTTCTCCTAAATTTACAATTAAATAATCCAAGCTTCCACAAAAGTTAACAGACATCTCAAATTTGGCAGATAATAAGAGAAATAAGGACTATGGCAAAGGAATGTACACGGTCTAAAGAGAGCGGAGCTCCAGCAAATTATTTCCATAGCAAATTGTTGTCCTGGCATATTTTTCTCTTCTAAGGGAAGTTGAAAATCCAGATTTTTATGTGAAGGGCCATGGATTTTATAGGTTAACATCATTGTGCTATAAGTTAATATATTATAAGCCAGAACGTCATACACACATACACATACATACACACTATATTTGGTGTGTGCACACATAATAAAACACAGAGAAAAGCATGCACATGCACGATGCACAAGCACTCATACACATGCATCCTCCCATCAACACACACAAACAACTGCAGGGTATATTAGGGACATGGGTCTTTATTAAAAAAAAAAAATCATTATTTGTTGTCTAACTTGAACATTAGGCTTTTATGCTTTGAAGCATAAATATTACACTAAAAATATTTTTCCAAATATAGATAGATAGATAGAGACAGAGAGAGAGAGAGAGAGATCGACAAGTGTTAGCAGAAACAAAGGTAATAGGAAAAAACATTTTTAGATTGTGTTACCACCATAGGAAGTTAACATGAGTTGATGGCCATTTAATGAAACTAATTTAGCACAGGAATTTTTTTTTCACTTCTCTAGATTTGTTAATTTTGGGGTTTACAACTCTTGATTTGATCTGGCTTTCCAGTGTTGTCATTGTTGTTTTTAAATCTACTTTTTTGAAAAGGTTTTTGGAATTTACTTTCTCTTTGTTGCCTGTAACTGAACCTGTATCATAGACTCGCAATGAAGCTTTCTGCCTCACTGAATCACTTTCATAGATTCTGTATTAAAACCGAGTTGGGCTCTTTCTTTCCTTCTTCCTTTCCCTTACTCGTTCCACATAAGGACAAAGAACTCCTTTGAAGGAAGCCTACAGGCTCAACATCTCATGAAAGAGGATCGATTGTGTGTGTCCTTTTTTTCTACACAAGTCCCATAAAGCATGAAGTCGCCAGACCAATATCATTATTTGGGGTCAGCTAGGTAAAAATTTGAAATTGAGGTTGGTCAGAGTATGACTTCAAATACAGTAACTATCTAGATTACTTGTGCTTAAAAGAAACATGATATCTTAGATTCGAAATTCTCAATAATACATGTCCATTGCTGCTTCTCTTAATTTTAAATTGCCCTCAGGATAGCAAAAATAAATAGTAAGTTTAATAAAATATCAATAAATGCTGTAGTTTGAAATAATGGTTTTCACATTCAAAGTTATTGGTTATAGTAAAGATGTGTTACAAACACATATACAATTATATCACATTTGATTGTAGTTTACAATTCTCAGGTAAGGGTAAAATCTACATCTACTAAGGGAATAGAAATGGTGGTTTAGTGCTTATCTTGAAGTAGCAGACTTCTAGAAGATACCATGAAAGATTACTTTAATTTTTATTAAATATATAAATCACTAAACCAGATACTAGTGCACTCTTCTCCCATTAAAGATATATAAATATGTATATTCGCATATATATTAATGTAAATTGCATTTATATTATATATTCAATTATAAATATAAAATATAAATATCTAGATATTGATCTATAAAGAGTTAAACAAAATCTATAGTTAAATAAAAATTCTAGAATTGGAAAAACATAAGATATATTAGTGACTCAGTAGACATCACCAAAAAGCACAGAATAAATAAACTGCAAGATGAGACAGAAAAAAATACCCAAATTGAAGCACAGAAAGATGAAAAGTGTAAAAGACATACCGCGAAGATCTAATATTATTATGGTAACTGAAATCCTAGAAGCAAAGAAGAGCAAAAAAAAAGACTTCGCCAAGTCAAATACACAAAAATCTCCGCGAAATCTATGAAAAATGTTTTCTAATAATTTTCAATTGACACAGACATATCATTGGAAGACTTCAGAAAACAAAGAACAAAACAATTCTACCTGAATGAGCAAGATAAGATGCATTACCTTCAAAACAGCAATAATAAGAGAGATGAATTTCAACAGAAAATACACACACAAAAAATTAAAATCCTAAAATTTCCATTAGGGAAAAAAAATCCCTTCCAACCCTCAGTTTTATATTCAATGAAAATCTCTCTCACCACCCGTTTCCCGGCGTGCGCCGGCTGAGGCTCCCAGCCCTCGACTTTTGCCCGTCGCCCCAAGATGGCGGACACGCTGAGGTGGTGCTGCGTCGGTTGCGCCTGAGGTGGCTGTGAGGACTAACGGTCGGCGCGGCTCCACAGCTGAGGCAGAAGACCGTCGTCCAAGGAGGAGGAAGAAGAGGAGGCGGCCCCACTGCCGGCCGACTTCTCGCTAGCCACCGGCTCAACACTCCCGCCACCCAGGGTTGGCCCCTCAGCAGCCCGCCCGCTGCCAGACCCCGCTGCCTTCCCCAGCCGCCGCCATGAAGCTGACCGACAGCGTGCTGCGGAGCTTCCGCGTCGCCAGGGTGTTCTGCGAAAACTCGGACAAGATTAATTGCTTCGATTTCAGCCCCAACGGCCAGACGATCATCTCAAGCAGCAACGACGACTCCATCGTGCTCTACGACTGCCAGGAGGGCAAGCCAAAGAGAACCCTGTACAGTAAGAAATATGGCGTGGACCTCATCAGATTCACTCATGAGGCAAACACAGCTGTTTACAGCTCTAACAAAATAGACGATACTATTCGTTACTTGTCCTTGCATGACAACAAATACATCAGATACTTTCCTGGACATAGCAAAAGGGTGGTGGCCTTGTCCATGTCACCTGTGGATGACATTTTCATTTCTGGGTCTCTTGATAGGACCATTCGACTCTGGGATCTCCGGGCTCCTAACTGCCAGGGCCTCGTGCATCTACACGGGAAGCCAGTTTGTTCTTTTGATCCAGAAGGGTTAATTTTGGCTGCAGGTGTCAACTCTGAGATGGTCAAACTTTACGACCTTCGTTCTTTTGATAAGGGACCGTTTACTACCTTTAAGATGCAGTGTCATCGAACCTGTGAGTGGACAGGACTTAAATTCAGCAACGATGGCAAGGTCATCCTCATTGCCACCAACGGCAGCTTCATTTCTCTCATTGATGCATTCAAAGGAGTGGTGATGCACACGTTTGACGGTTATGCAAACAGCAAAGCTGTCACACTGGAGGCTTCGTTTACTCCAGACTCTCAGTTTATTATGATTGGTTCGGAGGATGGCAAGATCCATGTCTGGAATGGAGAGACTGGTATAAAAGTAGCTGTGTTGGATGGTAAACACACCGGCCCGATTACATGTTTGCAATTCAACCCCAAGTTCATGACTTTTGCCAGCGCATGTTCCAACATGGTCTTCTGGTTGCCCACCATTGATGACTCGCCCTAATGCTGCTGGGCTATTATTGTACAGTGACGGCGGCCGTTGGAAGAAACTCAGGGGGGACTATGACAATACTGAGATTGGATGGTTTGACTGGGCTGCAGGGCATCCTTTACATGGCCTTCTCATGGATGTGCTGTACATCTGCTCAAAAGAAAATAATTACTTTGCTGAGCATCTTCAAAAGGACTCTCGGTGCAACAGACTCAATTGGAACTCAGCTTTTCTAGCTGTCCCTGCACCAAGGTCTGCTAGAGGAATGACCAGACTCACGATTTGGGTGGAGTGGGGCTCTCAAGACATCTTCAATTTGAATGTACCTGCTGCTGAGGAGCCGATGAAGTCATCAGCTCTGCGCATCCCTTCTGCTACCCCCGCCCAAATGTATGGCAAGCTATGGTCCTGGTTTTGAAATGCTAGAGCAGCTCTGTGCCCTTTGCCCTCACCTTGCATGTCTTGTTACTGGGTCTCCCTGTGTACTTGTGACGTTATCCACAACCATCATGTTTCTTAGGTGCCAAACAGTTACAGAAATGTTTTCATATTGGGGTCAGTAAAGAGACATATGCAGAAGCACCTTGCTTGCAGGAAGCCATGCAGTTAGTCACTACAATTAGTCACGTGAAGCTAGGTGGTTGGGCAGGCCTCAGGCTGTAGTTGTTGAATGGGAGAAAGCCCAGGGGCCTAAAAGGGAGGGTAAAGGGATGGTAGCAGAAGAGTTCCTAGGGCTGGAAGGTTTAGCAACAGTGTGGTGCAGTGCCCTGTCATCAAGACAAACCCACAGTCCTCCTGGGTGCCTACCAAGCTGGGTTTGTACAAAAGCAAGGTTGGAGTCGTATATATGTACATGAGACAACATCACACTTTCCTGTGGGCCATTACTGTGAAGTGAGTCTGAGTTCTTTACACTGATGCCTTCTCTGCCCACCACTAATTGTGTACATAGTCTTCCCTGCCCACCACAAATTGTCTACCTTTCCCCACCTCCCAAGCAGGAGCTGGTTCTAGGCCTGTGTTATATTTAGCCTTTTTATATATGACCTTTGATTTCTGTTGTTTGTATTTTAGCCCAGTGTATGCACCTTCATTTAATACATCTGTGTGCGTACAGGTATGTGTATATGTGTGTGCATATGCATATATCTCATCTGTAACTTCTGAGAGTTCAGCTGAAGCAAATGGAGTCCTACAGCCCAGGAGACACATTGCATCCTTGCTAATATTGTTCACCACAAGTGTTAGTGAGTTTTCCCTATTAATGTTTCATTTTGGAAGACTGAATGAAGCAAAGCTTATAGTGTTTGCTGTTTCCATGGCAGCTAAGTGAAGGTCTTGGGATGACTCCCTGTGTTCCTCAAGCTGTACTTTGGGGCCGTCTGTGCAGTATTAACCCCTTTTTGCTTGGTGGTGCTTTGTACTTGTGTGTTATAGTCACTCTTGTATGGCTTCTGTGTCTGGCATGTGGCATTTAAGGATAGGGTGTTATAAAGGATATAAAACTCTTTATATTGTAAATTCTAAGGGAAATTTATCATATGACTTCTTACACAGGACACATTGAATGATATTACAGCCACTGCTTTGCTTCATTTGAAATTAATAAATGTAACACAAGATTAAAGGGATACTTTATATCCATGAGTTCATTTATTTTTACACAACATTACATTTGTCTTTTCATAATGTTTATTTATAAACACATATATGCACATATCAGTTTTCAGTTGGAATGGAAATATTTTGATTGACAATACCTGATAGTGAGGAAGTATTAAAAGATAATTTCAGAACACTACTCCTTATTATTTTAACTTTAAAAATTATAACCTGGCTGGGTGCGGTGGCTCAGGCCTGTAATCCCAGCACTTTGGGAAGCCGAGGCTGGTGGATCACAAAGTCAGGAGTTTGAGACCAGTCTGGCTAATATGGTGAAACCCCGTCTCTACTAAAAATACAAAAACATCAACTGAGCGGAGTGGCACATCCCTGTAATCCCAGCTACTGGGGAGGCTGAGGCTGGAGAATTGTTTGAACCCAGGAGGCGGAGGTTGCAGTGAGCCAAGGTCAAGCCACCGCACTCCACTCCTACAGCCTGGGCAGTAGGGTGAGACTCTGTTTCAAAAGAAAAATGAATAAAAAGTAATAATAGTAATCATGTTCGATTAACTATATCACATTTAAAAGAATCACACAAGGGACATTTAGTCATTTTTCAGAACTTGAGTTACAAAAAATATATATTTATAAAGTTAATTTCTGAAGTGGGACTAATTATTTTAGCCAAGTCACCATGTCTGTAGTGGATAGACCAAATGGAACACTTGGAGGCATGGTTTCTCAACCTGAGCTTCACATGATTCTCCTAGGGCACCTCTTAAAAATGGCAAGAGAAATCCCAAATAATAGTGACTTGAACAAGATTGAGGTTTAGTTTTTTCAAGTAACAAGAAGAATGAAAGCAGTCAGTCCTAATCTAAAGTAGCAACCCAAAGATCTCTGGGCTGATGCCACTGTAAGGCTATGTCCTTTCCCTTAACGTCAATTTTAAGCAGTTTTAAGATGGCAACTGTAGCTTCAGTTAGGAATTCTATAACCAGGAAAGAAAAAAAAAAGTAGGACCTAGCTGAATCTGTCCTCTTCTGAAACTTTCTGGAAGGCTCAGATACAGACTTTCATTCACATCTTTTTGGACTACACTTTTCTTCAATTAGTGATACAGAATACAGGATTTTAACAGGGTACCTGTCATCTCCAGCAAATTTAGATTCTGTTAAAAAAGACAAATATTTGTAGATTACTAGATAATAATATTTAATACTCCTGTGATGTTCTGTGAAGTCCATCACTTCACTGTTCCGAAGTTACACTTAAATTATAAAACAATAACATAAAAAGGAAAGAGGTAATGTAAAATTATATCACCTCCACACTAAATATAATTAGAAGCTATTATAATAAAGACAACTTATAAGTAAAAATATACAAATTTTGTACAAACTTTATTTTCCATGACAGTAACCATGTCTACACATTATCTACACATTAAAAAATGTTTAAAAAGCCACTGAGAGCAATATTTTTACAGAAGACTACTACAAAAATTAGTACTGTTAGAAGGTTAGGAGGATCTAAATTTGAACTACATTGTCTTTAGTCCAGACCCCTTAATGGACTCATTAACTCCACCAAAATAAATTTCTGAAGTGAAACAACCCTTGTTCTCAACATATGATACTACATTTGATATAAAAGTTCAAGCAAATTTTTTAGAACTCAGGAAAATAATGACATGACACTTCTATGGTCTTTTTGTTTTATTAGTTATGCTGACAATAGTCCAATTTTGAATAGTGTGCTTTATAAAGTAAAATTTTCTGTCTCAGCATACCTTAAAAGTTAGAAACTTTTGTAATTATTTCCCAGCAGAGATGAATTAATTCACAGCAAACTTCTCAAAGCTGCTAATGAATGCATGATCAGGTAATTTTATTGTTTTAGCAAACAATGATAAAATGCATTTAATTTTCACTCAACTTTTCTTTGCTTAATGTATATCTAATAGAAAAAGATACCTTCACTCATTTGCAAGGTTATTCGTTTTCATCTCGTTTGGTAGAATCTTAGTGTGATAGATCTTTTTCTAAATTTTGAACTACATTGTCTTTAGCCCAAATCTCTCCCTTGCTCTTAGACATTTTTCAAAGATGTCTTTAAGCTTGCAACTTTACTATTACTTTAAAGACATAATTAAAGAACAGTATTATTTTCAAAAGTTGACCATGGACAATGACAAAATAACTAAAATGAAATAGGGAATGAATTATCACATTTCAACAAAATTTTTCTTAATCCTAACAGCTAGAATAACTGAACTTTATTTCTAGTTCCACTTAACTAAAGTGCCTGAATAAAATTACATTTTTTACGAGATGACAATACAGTAGAGACCATCCATGTTCTAACGACAATCTACTCCAGAGTTATGATCTGAGCACATCCATTCATCTCCTTTCCTATGATATCATAAAAGTTCAGTAAAGAGTTAAAAGACCAACTCACAGCAATAAAAAGTGTTTATATGATAGAAATCAGGTGAAAAGTGGAGCCTCATGAATCAAAGACAAAGTTACAAAATCTGCATTGAGAAAGTCTTCTGACCTGCAGAACCCTGATGAAGGCAAGAGCCCCAAACAAATCAAGTTCAAGTCAGAAGGGTAGCTGAGACAATGAATAGAGTGAACGTCCGAATAGAACAGCTGCAAGTTTCTCTTCCTCAAGTACTACTCCAGGCAGATGGATTGGCACTTTATCATCAAACAATAATCAATCAATCAATCAATAACTCGACTGAAGAATTCTCTTAAAAATGTACACAAGTCATGCCTCAATACACAGTAATTGAGTCCAGCTTTTATGTTGCCATAATAATAAAAATAAATGGAAATCCAAGAGCCTCCAGTATCTTACAAGATTGCAGTATCAAAGAGAAAAACTGAGACAACTTGGGCTCATATACTGAAATCATGAAGAGTAAATAACTTTAGCAAACAAATAAGCACACAAATCATGAATTCTAATTTGTATTATCAACGATATTTGAAAAAAAAAACAGCATCTAAACTTTGGAAGATTAAAAAAAAAGTCCAAGAACAAGAACTAAAGTAAAATATTCAGTAAAAGAGCTGAAAAGTTTTTAAAAAACATATTTAGAAGAAAAAAGAACAAGAAATGAAGCATATGAGAATAAAACAATAAGACCCTGATTTTATCTGATTTTTAAAAGTTACAGAGCTAACATAAGAAAAGTAGATTAGTTGGATGGTAATAAAGACGAATTTATTAAATAAAAATTACAGGAAAATTTTCCAGAGTTTAAGAAAAGGGTCTTTCTGTTGAAAGGGCTCACACTGACCATTAAAAACAAACAAACAAAACCCTTACTTAGGACACTAAGTTCTGAATTATAGATGATTCTTGGCCAAATATAAATACGATTTGGGTTGCAT